AGAGCCCCGGTAAATCCTGACAGTGGTACACCGACCGGAGTCAGCTCCTTCCTGTCGAGGCCAAGCTTCTCAAAGACGTCCAAGTATAGGACGTTCACACTGCTGCCCGTATCGACCATAACCCTCTGGACGTCTGTCCCCTTAACGTCAATCGTGACCGCGAGCGCCTCCATGCCGTGGTCACTGCTGCTAGGTTGGTCTTCCAGGGTGAAGGTTATGGGCTCCATCTTCTGCCTCTTCCCGGTCTCCCGGGAATCCACTATAGCGACCGGGCAATTAGTCCGCGGTCGAGAAGCATCTTCCAGTCCACCAAAAATGACATGGATGGTAGGCTTTCCGGACGGGCGGCTACCAGACGGAGGGTCAGGGTCCCGTCGGTCATCATGACGATCGTCCCTTCGATCGTCTCTTCGGTCCTGACCTGGTCGATCGGAGCGGTGATGAGAACGCCTGTGATCTCTCCGATCGGTATTCCTCTTATTGTCTTCTCTCTTCCCCACGCACTTGTCCAATTTTCCCATGTTAAGCAGATCTTCCAACAATTGGCGCAAGTGGGTACACTCCTCGGTGTCATGCCCGGCGCATCGATGGTAAAGCACAATGCTTACTCTTGTCAGGGCCGTCTCGATCGGGATGGGGGACTTTGATGAGATTGCAGGACTGGGCGTACTGCATGGCCTCCGCTGCGGATCGGTTCAAGGCCGTAAACTCGCCAGGCCTGGTGCGGGATCGGGGATTGTCATCTCCCGACCGATGTTCCGCCCGGCCGGCCGGTTTACGGGACGAAGAGCCGACCTCCTGCAAGCGCTTTACGGCGTTCGCCTCGCCGGCGTTGGCATAGTCTGTGACCCTCCGAAGGGCCTCCTCGTAACTGGTCGGGGGGTGTAAGATGAAGTCTTGATACAAATGTCCCGCCCGGAGAGATATGTGAAGCATATGGGTGGCGGTCGCGTCGTCCATAGGCTCGACTTCCCCGACGGCTGCCTTCCACTTGACGAGGAAATCGGTCAGGCTTTCCCCTTCTAGCTGCTTGGCCTTCTCAAGATACATGTAGGACTTTCTCACCACTTTGGAAGTAATGAATTTCCTCACAAACTTGATCGCCAAGGTATCAAATCTGTCGATCGAGCCCGGTTGTAAGGTCCGAAACCATTCTGCTGCTCGACCGGTGAGCGTAGAGTAGAATGCCCTACACATTACGGCGTCCGAAACGCCCTTCATCATCATGTTGCTATAAAAATCATTCACATGGGCTTCAGGGTCTGCCCGTCCGTCATAACTCTTCTCTCTAGAGACCTTCAAGTCGAGCGGGTAAGGCTGGGCCATTACCGCTGCTGTGAAAGGCGTCTGGTGCAGGGTCGATTGGTTGACCGGGGGTGTTGCAGGGTACGCATTCCTGAGCTGCGCAACTTCCGCCTGGAGGTTATAGAGCAATCCTCGGGTTTCGTTGAGCTCAGCGGCTTGAGCGGCTTGGGCTGTATCCCGAGCGCGTCGCCGTCGGTGAGATCTCGACCCGCTATACCCAGATGAAGCCTCCTGGCTAGCCTCCTGCATCTGTACGTCTTCTTGCCCGCGGTTCGGGTCCTGGGGTCCCAAACGCTGGCGCATCTCCGGTCGAAGACGATCAAAAGCCGCCGCCCGGGCAGTTTCTTCAGGGTCCTCCGCTTGGACGGCCTGAGCTGGTGCTTCCATCGCATCAGCACCCCCCGACCCCAACCGCGAATGAGCCGAGCGTCGAGCCCGGGATGCGGACTGACGCTGCGGCTCTACCTGTGCGGTCGGTTGTACTGGAGGGGCGGCGGCTGGAGCTGTATAAGCAGGCGTATATGGTGGATAACCAACCGGGGGAGTGTAGCACATCGGTTGGCCTGGCCAATACCCATAAGGTGGAGGTGGGACCGGGTACGGATACTGGCCGGGATACATCATCGGCTGCTGCTGGTATGGCTGACCGGGTGTTGGGTATCCCGGTTGTATGTAATTCACCGGCTGTTGGGCGGCCGGGTATGCATTTGATGGATGCGGTGGTGAGAGGTTGAGGTTTAGATCAATCGTGTGACCTTGCTGTTGGGTAGCGTGATTGTCAGATGAGCTCGCCGCATCTGCTTGGTCGTCGGCGAAGTTGTTATATGCCCACGGATACATCGTTGCAAAGAGGCCGAGTGCTCGTCAAGACGTAGCTTTGTTGCACTGGTCCCCACAGACGGCGCCAAAATGGTATTGCTAATTATACGCAAGCAATATAAAACAAACCCGAGACCAATCGAAGCAAGTAGAGATTTTATTGATCACGGCGAAGGCCCTAAGTACAATCTACTTGGTTGCTCTGAGTACCGACTGACTGCGGTCGGGATTCTCTAGTAACAACCTATCGATCGTCCAAAAGTCCCCCACACTGTAGCTACTGTGGGTATTTATAGCCGTTATGCCGGGGACAAGTCTCCAGCCGTTCGGCATGTCCTCCACGTAGCCACCACGTGTCACCCTTCCGGGTGCCCCGCCTGTCGTCGTGAAGAGCCGCCACGTGTCCTCTGTCAGCTCTCTCGCCAAAGGGCTACCGCTCGGTGGTTGACACCAGCGCTCGGGCAATTCCCGGTCGCTTCCCGACCGGGGTCTTTGTAAAAGCCCGACCTGCTACCTGCAAAGACAGAAATACAAAGACAAAGGCAATCCGGTCGTGGTGGAGTTTATGTCGGTCGGGATATTCCCTACCACACACAATAATATACACTCTGTTAAACTGTAACGACTGTCATTTCTTTATTTAAAGAAATAACGCCGTTTTGGACCATAGTAAAGCTTTGTGACCAACCATAGTCCACGATATAATTGCTGGTTTTGTACTTCGACTGCTAAATTGCCCATCCGACATGGATAAGTTTGATGTAAGGCCATTTATGTATGTGTAATTTTTTATTTAAAATAGGGAAAATTGCATTTTTCGTCCCTAAGTTATAGGGTAATTGTAGAATTCGTCCCTGAGTGTTGGTCATGCTCAATTTTCGTCCCTAAGTTATCATTGGTGTTGCACTTTTCGTCCCTGAGTTATAGAGTAATTGTAGAATTTGTCCCCGAGTGTTGTTTATGCTCACTTTGCGTCCCTAAGTTATCATTTGCGTTGCACTTTTCGTCCTTGTGTTATACTAAAATTGCAATTTTCGTCCCTAATCACTACTACATAAATGGTATACTATGTCACTTAATAGACGGATGTTTTTTAAATAACCACCATCTTATATATTTTGTTATACTACTTCATTTAATAGACAACGGGTTTTTAAATAACCGTCGTATATAACTTAATTAATTTTTTTTTATGTCATACACTTTAAATAACCACCGGCGGTTTTTTTACACATACACGAAAGTTTTTGAAGTGTCGCGTATGTAAGTGACTGCCGTTGTAAATATACACTTTCTACAACGGTTTTAGAAATCGTTGTGTATGTTAACTATATACGGTGGTTAAAAAACTGCCGTGTATGTCAACTATATAGGTAGTTATTTAAACAACCGTCGTCTATTAAGTGACGTAGTATAAGTGTATAACACAATATATTAGACAACGGTTATTTAAAAAGTGACGTAGTATAACATTTATGTAGTAGTGATTATGGGCAAAATTTGCAATTTTAGTATAACTCAGGGACGAAAAGTGCAACGTCAATGATAACTTAGGGACGAAAAGTGAACATGACCAACACTTAGGGACGAATCCTACAATTACCTTATAACTCAGGGCCGAAAAGTGCAACGCCAATGATAACTTAGGGACAAAAAGTGAGCATGACCAACACTTAAGGACGAATTCTATAATTACCCTATAACTTAGGGTTGAAAAGTGCAATTTTCCCTTTAAAATATAATCCGTAATAATTTTATAAATACATAAATAATAATAATAATAATATATTATAATTAAAAAGTAATATTTTGTATATTTTTCACGTACGATGTCTTTACATAAGGCTTGCTCATATGTTTTTGCTAGTAATGAGTAATCACTACTTAGTAGATTATACCAACTAAGTAGTTAACTATTTAAAAGTTTATATAACTTTTGATAACTTAGCTTTTTACTCCTTTCGTTCCATTTTACGTGTTTGGCTCGATTAGCAAAGCTTAATTTTAAATTAATATTTTATAATGTTAAGTTTAATATTAGTATATAAAATTATATATTCGAAAACTATATTACAAATGTTATTAAACAAAAAAAAAATGATTAAAAGTGATAAAGAAACAAAGCAAAGAAGTTTTTTTTTTTAAATTATTTTTATCAATAAATAGTAAACATAGCAGGTAAAACGAGACAAATGGAGTACTATTTTTTATTTCTAAACTATTTATATTTAAGTTTTTATTGTTTTACGTTTTAGTATAACTAATCAATTATATTACGTATTAGTAATTTAAATATTAGTTTTTAAAAAATTAATAACATAATAAGTGGTAGGTACTCGTTTTGAAGTTCTAAACAAATTTAAAATCTACATAGCGAATCTATTTCTCATTCACCAATTATGTGTTTTGAGCATACAATATATCTTTTTATTCGTTTTATTACGAAAAATTCAATTTACTTTGATCAGATCTAAATCAGAAGTGAACCCCACATATATTTGTACCACACAATAACCACTTAAATGTCATTTTTATTAAAATTCCAACAATAACAAAATTGATTAAAAAAATATTAATAATAATCAAATTTGTGATATTTAGATACCGCTCTGGCTACTCGAGATTTCATATACTCCGTATTATTTATTGGAAGTATAAATAGCTGAATAAAGAAAAAGGTATTATAGAAGTAGTACATGGCGTGTTTATGAGAAATAAATAATTTACATAAAAAAGGGTAACTTTGCGAGTAATATTAAAATAGAGTAGGGACGAGTGCGCAATAATGTGCAGTGTAATTACGTGGCAACGTGGGGTTGCAGGTTTGAGCGCCCCCACCCCCCCGAAAAAACCAAACGGTGACGCCGCGACCAATTCCCCCGAAACTTGAAAAGCCCACTCCACTGGGTAAAAAAAAAAAAAGCCTTTGCTCACTCAACTCGCTCACTCTCTTCTGAACTCGCTGTTGGACTCACTCTCCAAACAAACAGTCCTCCACTGCTTCCCACACAAAATTGATGCCGGAATCTGACGTCATGCCGCCGGGAGAGGCGGCCTCCAAGTCGCCTCTCGACAAGCCTCTACACCAGCTCACTGAAGACGACATTTCTCAGCTCACTCGGGAAGACTGCCGCCGTTACCTCAAAGAGAAAGGTGCCTCTTCTCCCTCTTCCGCCTTTAATATATATATAAAAAAAATTCAGATGTTGATTATTGTAATCGTGCGGAGAATATCCGTACAGGTATGCGACGGCCATCGTGGAACAAATCGCAGGCGATTCAGCAAGTGATATCGCTGAAAGCGCTGCTTGAACCGTCGCCGGATTCTGATGCCGGCACTAGCAAGAAGCTGTACATTCCTCGCTCCAATACCACCAATAATAATAATGCGGCCCGTGTGCGTTTCAATCATTCTCAGCATTTTTTTAATTATCATTTTTAATTATTTTTCTGGTGGTTAAAAAACAAAAAAGTCTGTCAGCTATTAATTTAATATTGTGAACGAAGAAATGCATAGTTTATTATTCGGCTGATTTGTAAAAGCAAAGCAGGTGCCAAAAGGAACTGTTGCCGATGCAGAAATTTCTGAATCTGCCGCCGAAGAAGCAGCAGGGAATCGTAGAAAAGATCCGGAGAAGCCTAATCTTTCCGGTGATCCACCGCCCCCTCCGCCAGCAGCTGCTGTCAACAATTCAGCTCCATCTAGGTTAACCTTCTTTTTCTCTTTCCGACTGTATATGTATATAAGACAGTTAAAAAAAAAAAAAACTAAAAAAAAAACTAAAAAAAAAAAACTAATAGGAATCTAGAATGGAGTGACTCCTTACATTGTGTTTTCTAGTGTGTGGTGTGCTTTACTTGCATTTACCTTTTGCACCAATTCTCATTCTAGTAGGTCAGAATATGAAAGGCCTGGTTTACTATTGTAGCAACATAGAATTACCTTTGCCCAGCCTTTAATAGTTTTTGACTTTTCACTAATCTGATGTGTCAAGCTTCAGAGTTTTAGTGCATGGAACTTAGTGTGCTGCGTGTCAGATGGAGATTTGTATGCATTTCCATGAAACACTCATTAAATTTCTTGCACTATTCTTGACACACGCTAATGCTTGCACTTTATGGATTGAGTCAATATCTTAGTGCCATCCTTGAGATCATGGTGTGTGGTGTACATAGAACTATCAGCCTATAGTGATTGCTGTGTTGTAGATGGCCATGCATTATAAAGGTGTTGATATCACATGCAGTTACATGTTGTGTCCGATGAACAATGAACAATTTTTTTTTTCCAGCTTTTAGCAAGCTTTTTATCATTTTGCATCATGAATCACCAGTTAGAATACTTTGCTTCATAACATGTGAAATATGGTGAGTATATATCTTCATTAACAATCAATCATGCCTGAGTTTTTCACGGAAGATAATCACAAGGTATCCATGCTGCTTATATCTGCATATTAAAGTCAAACCAAATTTCTGAATTTTCCATGTCCTCAATGAGATGTTATTTTGCCTTTGTTCTCCATGATCAGAAGCCTAAATCTTAATCTGGTATGTATTGTATATGTTGTATCTTCTCATGTGTCTGAAAGCAGTCAAAGCACCTTCTCAATGTACACCAAAACATTATGATTTTAAATATGGCATCTAAAGCCTGCTTGGAATTTATGCACTAAAATAGGATATTTGTTGAATATTTGGTGACTGAAACTTCTTCTGAAGACTCTTGTCACTAATGATTAAACTGATTGCTTTTGTTAATGACTTCACTTTACAGACTTGCTGATTCAGCAGATATTCTGGTAGGGCAAATGACAATATTCTATTGTGGCCAGGTGAATGTCTATGATGATGTGCCCGCTGATAAGGTATTGAAGCTTCTTCAAATTTGAAATACACCAAATCATTGTAGATGTAGTATAAACAAATTCATTTCCTGATACAATCAACTCATGTACTTATAGGTACAAGCAATCATGCATCTTGCTGGTAGCCCATTCCATGTGCCTCCTGACTGTCCAGCACGGCATTCAGTTTCCCACTTACAAACTGCAAATGTTGAAGTAGGTCAAGACTCTGCAGTAGTGTTCTTGCCACCAATGCAAACAGGTGATGTTATTGTATTTAAAAATAGAGTTTTTGTTCTGGATCCTTTTCTATGCACACTACAAATTTTCATTGTCTTGGACTTGTGGTGGTGGTGAGGTAGGGTGTTGCAAGTGGGATGAAAGACCATTTGGTTTAACTTACAAGTTCAATGATCAATTCCTCCTTTAATATGGGTTGTAGATAGTTGGAAACCCCACTCCAAATTGGAAGAATTTTTTCCTTGGTTAACTGTTGAATCCCCATTGATATTTACAATAAAATGTGCTGAACTGTTTAATTTTATATATTACCAAAAGATTTTTTTTTTTTTTTTTGAGAATATTACCAAAAGATATTAACTCAAGCTTTTACAGTGAAAAAAAGTGACAACTCTCGAGTACACGTGGAAGACAACACTCCATTTTATGAAGATAATCCTGGTAAAGTTTTCACAATGCTGCTCCTTGTATTCATTACAACAGTAGCAATTTTATTTGAAGGATCAAATTTTTTTTATTGTTTGATGGGATATATGAAATGTCTGATCCCCTAGCACCATCAAATTTGAATTCACTGCATGTTTCAACTCTACTTCTCATGACTAGGTTTCATCCTCTCCATTCTGGGTATTCTTCATATCTTTTATCACTTCCTTTGTCCTAGACCCCTTTGTTTCCCACCGAATCATTTGATCCTTTGCTTGAGTCGGTGCAGAAGAAGTTTTTACCTGCAGTGTTGTTCCCTCCACATGCCTATGCCTGCTCTAAAAGTTTCTTCCATCTAGGTGATTTTCCTTCACTGTGACATTTTATAAACCATTCAAGTGGTGAACCAACTTTGTGCTCTTACTCCCCTTTTGCCTTGAGTTTTGAATATGTTGACATAAGACATGCTGAGAGTTTGTATTGCTTGAGATGGCTTTCCAGCTAGGTTAGTTGCTTGGCTTTATTTCCTTTTGTCCATCTTGTGTTGTTCCTTGTATGTTAAATCTTTTATTTGTGTACTGATGGAAATTCTCCATGTTAGGTTTCAATAATATTAATTGCATTGACAATATCCTGAGGTGAAGAAGGGCAATAAGACTTTCTTCACATTGCTCTTCTTTATGAGTGCGGAGAGGGTTTATATTTTCGGTGTAAGGCTGTATGTCAAAGTTCAATGTAGTCAAATTGTAGGAGACACTATGTAGATTTATGGCCTCAAAGTGCTGTAGACTACTCTTTCTTATGTTACATTTTTGTATGATATAATCTTTCAAAGCAGTCGAAGGCTCAGGGAGTAGGAAAGCATCAGTACAAAGATACCTTGAGAAGCGAAAGGACAGGTTTTGCTCACTAAGCTGCTTTTATGTAGAGAAAGTAGCAAGAAACATAGTTCTTTTTCTTATTCTTTAACCTCTCACATCTCTGTTAGGTAGGTTCAAGAACAAGAGGAAGGTAGTAATGACTTCACCGCCTGGGTTGGACATCTACTTGAAACATCAAATGCAAAATCATAGTACCAATGAGCAATCAGGTTAGCACAACTATCGCCTCCACCCCTATTTAAACTTTCTTTTCCCTGCATTGATTGATGGCTCAACAGATAATAATTATGAAATGCCAATCTTTATGCTGGTTTTAGTAAACATGTTGTTGTGCCTCCAAACAGATCCCAAGTAAACCCCATTCACTAAAGACTTGGCAAGTGACTTTCACATACCAGTAATGGATAATTGCAAGAGTAGTTTTCAAGAATGCATTATTATTATTGTTCTTACTGGCATTGCCTTTTTCCCCTCGCACAAACATAAGCAAACAAAATTTCAATGTATATGTTGGGTAAGAGAATGACCTAAATTCCAAGGAAATGCTACATTGAAACCTTTTGGAATCAAGTTCCCAGAATCCCAGGCCAATCTTAACCCCTTTTATATTTTATGCATCAAGAATAGTATAAAAAGGAGGGATTTGCTAGAGTTGACAGTTTGAGGGGTGAAAAATGATGCACCTATGCCATCTATCATTTTCTTGCTTTATGATGTGGTATAGCATCTATGCGAAAAGTAATCTGTTCTGATAGGAATTTTTATTAGATGCCCTGTAGTGACTACTATATATATATATATAGTCTTCTTCCTTCCCTTTCTTACCTTATCCATAGAAATGACTGCTGGCCTTACAGGAGATTCATGCCACTTGTGTATTTTTTTAATAATACATGACATTTCTATCATGGTGCCACCATCCCCATCTCCCCACAAAGAATAAATTAGTGCTTTTAGCTTTAAGAGAGTGAGTGGTCCCTATCAATATATTAATCCTTTGAAAAATGGACCTGATAGCTTATTATTATTATTATCTTCATTGCTTTTCAGATAACAGAGAACGTATTATGGAAGGTTGATCTAGGACACTGCATTTCTAGTCTATTTCTTCATGCCATAGTAACCGTGGATGCCATCTCCTTTTTTGTTCAGCTAGACGGTTGATTCTAAAACAACCAGAGAATGCGGATAGGTGTAAGAAAAAATTCCCCGAGTATTCGTTGTGAATACTAATTAGTCTGTATTAAGGTATGTGGGATAAACGAAACACAAAACATCTCGGCCAGTTGCCTCACGGTCGCGCCACTCAGGATTGAGTTGGAATGGCGTGTTTTTCCCACGTTTCTGTAGTAGTAGTAGTAGTAGTATCATTTGCTTTGTCCAGGGCTGTTGTTGCCACTTGCCAGTTTCTGTTGGATCTTCCTACTAACTTGGAAACCCCCCGGCATCTGGACAATCTACTTCGCCCTTTAAAACTAAACGATGTTATGTAGGTCTAGCTGTATATGTTGTTGGTTATGCAAGAACTTTGCTGATCATAACCACTTTAACTCTCTTATTGATCACCCCCCTTTGACTCCATTTGGCCAGTTTACTCTCACACTACGATTACTGGGTCTTTACTCTTTAACTCGCATATACGAAATTAACCCAGTAGTTTGGGATAGTTCGCAAGCAAATGGTTAATGCAATTGCTAAGTTGGAAGTTTAACCTTTGTAAAATGTGTTATATAAAACTATAAAAGAGTTCTATGTTAAGTTTTTCTCTTGAGTAAAGGTTGCTTTACTGATTTCAACTTTTATTCATACTTCGTACTAATATATTATTTGGTTTATAATATACTCCGTAGTTTATTAAATTGTTATGTAAGCTGTTGAACTTTTGTATAACAAAACAAAGAGAGTTGACTTACTCAACTAACTTGTGTTTAACTTCATTTTGAATTGTCTCAATTACTTCATCATATTTTAATTTATTTTTAACTTGTTTTTTTTTTTTTTTGTAACCAAAGAAACAACTTCATTAATAGCTCAGAAGAGCAGCAATACACAAAGGCGGGTTAACCAACCACGACCCTAGGACAGACGGAGAATCTGTCGCCCGCGCAAGAACGTGAGCTACATGATTCGCTGACCTCCTGACATGGCGAACCTGAACGGTCCCAATGTTAGTAGCAATTTGAACACATTGCTTTACAATTGACCCAACATACGAAAAATCAGAATTACCAGAATTAAAAGTTGAACTAAACATTAAACAATCGGTCTCTAAAATGATATTATTAAGACCTAAACTCTGTAACCATCCCAATGCTTGTGCAATCGCCGAGGCCTCTGCTAGCAACGGGTCTTGGATATAACCCAGTCTGCCACCTTTGGCCGCCACGAAGCAACCGTCATGATTTCGAACCACGGCTCCAAAGCCTGCCTCCGTAGCGAAGAGAGCTGCGTCCACATTGCATTTCAGCCAGTTGGCTGGTGGTGGAGTCCAGAGAACACTCGATGCAGAAGAAGTCGTTGCTTCCCCAGAATTTTGCTTGATAGAGGACCATAAAGCCTGTAGAGAATGTACCTGGATTAGTAAAGACTCGGGTGAAATAGATGTGTCTCGCCAGATCTTATCATTCCTAGCCTTCCACAGGACCCAGAAGATGGCCGCCGCATGAATGATCTGATGCATTGGTGCGCTCTTGATGAGAGCGTCCAAGAACTCCAGAATCGAACCGTTATGAAGCACATTACCATTCTCCCAAAGACACATTGCTACCGTGCATTCACAGAACACATGTTCAGCCGTCTCCATTTGGCAGTCGCAGTGTGCACACCCCCCACCAATCCACACATGTTTTTGCTTTAGAACTTCCTTCACAGGCATGATGCCCCTAACGCATCGCCACAGAAGATTCTTTACTTTCGGAGGGATGGGTAGTTTCCACAACCGGTCCCATGCCGTGAAGCTGTCGTTCCAGTCATATGAAGTATTGCTTTCCGTTAATAATTTATAGCCGTGCCGGGCAGTGTACATGCCCCTTGTGTCACCAAGCCACCGCCAGGAGTCCGGTAGCGTGGGCGATAGGGGCGTAGCTAGAATCCTAGGCACATCTTTCGGGGTGAAGAGGCCATGAAGAATAGCAACGTCCCATGTGCCTTGAGACGTAAGCAGGCTTGCGACTGGCTGATCCCTTAAATGATTGATGCAGGACGTGGTCAGACGGGGATGTATCGTGTCGGCAAGCCACGGCCATTCCCAAATTTTCGATCCCTCACCATTGCCAATGCGTCGTGCGGCACCTCGCTTGAGTAATTCTTGGCCCGCCATAATGCTTCTCCACAAGTAACTCGGGTTGTGGCCCATTTGAGCGTTCAAAAAAGAATTGTTGGGATAATACTTTGCACGTAAGAGACGACTTACCAGCGAGTTCGGGTAAATCAAGAGACGCCACCCCTGTTTTGCAAGCAAAGCAATGTTGAACTCGTGTAGCCGTTTGAATCCAAGACCGCCCTTTGCCTTCGGTACACACAGTCGGTGCCAGCTTAACCAGTGGATACCCCTGCTGGTCGACCCGCCTCCACCACCCCACCAATAGCGGTTGAATAAACGTTCCAAAGTATCACAGAGTCGTTGCGGTAAGTAGAACACCGACATTGTGAATATAGGTAAGGCTTGGGCAATGCTTTTCAAAAGAACTTCCTTGCCTGCCCGTGACAGTAACCTCTGTTGCCAACCCCCAATCCGCTCCCGAATTCTCTGTTCAATATAACAAAAGGTAGCCGACTTGTTACGCCCCAAAAACGAGGGTAGTCCTAGGTAGCGGCCCAAATCATTGCATTCTCGTACTGCCACGAACTCCATCACACTAGAGCGGGTTTCCAAAGTGGTATTGATGCTGAACATAATATTTGATTTTTCATAGTTGATTACCTGGCCTGACACAGCACTATATGTATCGAGGCAGTTCCTGATTGTCTGAGCTTCCGTACTCGTGGCCCTAAAAAATAGAAGACTATCATCGGCGAAGAACAGATGTGTCACCGCCGGCGCTCCCCGAGCAATACGAATACCATGAATGTCCCCTTGTCTCTCAGCCTGTTGTAATAACACAGAAAGCCCCTCAACACAAAGAATGAACAGATATGGAGATATAGGGTCTCCCTGCCGAATGCCACGTGTCGGGGAAATAGTACCCACAGTCTCGCCGTTTACCTGGATATGATAGATTACTGATTTGACTCCCATCATGAGTAGATGAGTCCAACTTCTGTCAAAGCCCAGTGCCGTGAGCATACCTTCCAGGAATCCCCATTCCATTCGATCGTAGGCCTTGGCCATGTCGAGTTTCAATGCGGTCCAACCCATAGCCCCACTGGTTTTCCTCTTCAGATAGTGACCCACTTCTCCGGCCACAATAATGTTGTCAGTCAGTAGACGGTCGGGAACGAAAGCACTTTGCGACTCCGACACCACGCTGTGAAGTAAGCTTTTCATACGGTTTGCTAATGCTTTGGCTAGCACCTTGTACACTACATTGCATAGGGCGATTGGGCGCAAATCAGAAACTTTCTCGGGGCACTTTTTCTTTGGAATCAGGACAATGTTCGAGTCGTTCAGACCCGGTGGTAGAGAACGATCCAATAAGCAGTGAGTAATAAAAATAAACAAGTCGTGACCCAAAATCGGCCAGAAATGTTGATAGAAAGCGGGTGACATACCGTCTGGACCTGGCGCCTTTTCCGGTGCCATAGAGAATAAGGCTTCTTTAATTTCCACGATGGTAAAAGGTAACGCTAGTGTAGCGTTCATCTCCGGTGATACTCGACTCGGGACGTGGTTAAAGATGTCAGCGTTGATGCCTGTGGACTGAAAAATATCTGAGTAATAACGCAGTACTTCGCCATTTAGCTCCGTACCTTCAAGCCACTGACCCTCCGGGTTCTTAATGCGGTGCAACTGGTTCCTTCGACGTCTGGCCGAGGCTGATTTATGGAAATATTTCGTGTTGAGGTCACCATGCTTGAGCCAAAGTTGTTTCGCTCGTTGCCTCCAGTAGATTTCTTCTTGTCGTAGCAAATAGCAAACCCTGTAGTGTCCCCTCAGTTTCAATATAATCGGCCACATCCTGCTGTTCCCGTGAGTCTCTTAAATTTTCCAATTTGTGTCTGAGGCATTTTATCTGTTTGCCATTACGCCGGAAATAGTCCTCCCCCCATTTGCCCAGATAACTCCTACATTCCGTGATCCGGTCCTGAAAATTCATCCCCAATGTTGATCGCCATACTTGATCTACTGCCTTGTGACAACCCTCATCCTGTAACCAAGCAGATTCAAATCTAAAACGTTTCTTCGCCCGACGGAAAGTTCTTGATTCCATATCCAGAAGAATGGCGTTGTGATCAAATTCCATTGTAAGTAAGTTGCGGACAACTGCCGAATCATAAATTTCTAACCAACCGTGAGTAGCCACAGCTCTGTCTAGGCGTTCTTCGACCCAAGCATCTGTACCGCGTCCTCTTTCCCAAGTGAATCTACTTCCCTCCATGCCCAAATCAAACAACTGACAATCCATAAGCGCATCATTAAAACCCTCAATGAGATTTGTGGGTTGAGCATGAGGCCCCCGCTTTTCTGACTGACATGTGATGTCGTTAAAATCTCCTATGGTGACCCATGGGAGAGTTGACCGATCTCTGAGTTCCCGAAGGAGGTCCCAAGATTCTTGCCGCCGATTTTGGTCCGATTCACCGTAAAAGCAGGTTAGGCGCCATTCTGGGGTATCCGGTAAAGAAACACTTACATCGATGTGATTTGTAGAATAAGAAAGTAATGTGGCCATAGCTGCGTCCCTCCAAAACAAAGCTAATCCACCTCCCATGCCACTCTGTTCCACGCATAGCAGACCTTCAAATCCCATGCGCACTTTTATTCGTTCCACATGTGTCTTCGTAGCCTTCGTTTCTATAAGGAAAACGAAGCTGGGTTGCTGGCTAGATACGAGACCCAGCAATTCCTGAACTGTCCGGTCGCCCCCCAATCCCCGGCAGTTCCAGCTCAAGATGCTCATTGCGTGGGGCGAGCCTGGACCGCCAGACCCGCCAAATCTGAGTTTTTTGAATGATCAACCATGTCTATGTCCCCTTCCTCATTCCCTTCCCTTCGACGCTTCAGATCTCCGTGCAGACTGCTTGCGGCTTCAATCGACGCCACCTCCTGGATAACCGATCCCGAAGACAGGGTAGTCGCCGGCGGAACGGTCGAAAGATCTTGCAGCAGCCATTTCACACCTATTGGCCTCACCTGACGGCGAGCCCCGACTCGCATCCATGCTCCATAGGGGTAATCAGCCGGTTCCAGGCCTTCATCGTAGGCTTTCTTGCAGTATTTTTCGGCATGCCCCAACACCCCGCAACAGAAGCAAAATGTACCGAGGCGCTCATATTTGAAGTTCACCCAGTGCACCGATCTATCCTTGCGAATTAGACGCATTCTGCGTTTCAGGGGAAGCAGAACATCGATCCGGACACGAATCCGGAAAAAGCTACGCCAATTACTTCCGAAATTGTAAGGATCAATCGCTTTGAACGAGCCGATGTAGTTTCCTATGCGGGATAAGAAATCCGTAGAGGCATAAACAGATGGTAAATCGTGTACCTGAACCCAGAAATCCACAAAGCCGAGGTTGACATCTGTTGGATTCGTTCCGATCGGCACCTTGTCGAAAACCAGAGTGTGGTTTTCGAAAGTCCAGGGACCATCGTCCGAGACGCGTTGCATGTCCTTCAGGTGCGGAAACTGGAACAGAAATAGGTTCTCTTCGATCGGAACAATGCGCATGCCCATGACTGGCCTCCAGACCGCCGCTAGAACCTGTTGCATGTGTTCATGCTTGACCGGACGATCAGTTAAGAAACGTCCCACCATTTCATAGTGGTAGATCTCCGGTGTGGCAGTCTGTCCTTCAGGAGCCTCCAATCCGCCTGTTTCCTCCTCCGACAGCTTCATAATCGCACAAGCCTCCTCAATCTCTTAAGTGTCCATGGGGAACCAAATCAGATCAATCGGGTGACAGGTAATATGATCGGGTGGGATACGGAGACTGCTAGAATCACGAACCGGACGTAACTGAGTCGAGTGCAGAAATTCGAGCGGAGCCCGTGTTTTGTGTAATGCGATCGCGAAGCAGAGCGATGGCGGTACCGTGCGTAGGCCGATCGTGGAACAGATCACAGAGTGCGTTGATCGCAGAATAAACGTGACTAGGCCGATCGTGAAACAGATCACAGAGTGCGTTGATCGCAGAGTAAACGTGACGGAGATCGTAGATCACCGCGGTTGGGAGTCGATCGGAGAATCGATCGTGAATAAATTGACAGAACAGTATGATGCCGAGTGATGGAATGATGTGATCGAAAGCTGGAATGATCGCATACGTAAATAGCATGCAGAGGAGAACGTGGAGGACTGCATCGTGGGAGAGGAAAGAACGCCATAGTGGGGGATAATCAGCCATAATGGGGTAGTGACCCTAGAGAACTAGGGAGAAAACTCTCTAAGGGAAACTCAGAGAGAGACCACTCAGTATAATTGATTCTAATGAATTAAAAATTTATATATATATATATATATATATATATATATATATATATATATATATATATATATATATATATATATATATTGTCTAAGTACTACCTGTTTAACATCTATCTATACCGTCATAGTTTTTTAATCAAATAATTGAATGCAGAAATGTGCAATTAATTTAATAATAATAATAATAATAATAATAATAATAAAGGAGTATTTCCTGTTCCTGTCTATACCAACTGAGAGAGGCCATGAAGGCCCCCTGTTGTCGATTTCTTAATGGTGGCATGCATGTGACAATTTTTTCTATTTATGTGTTTTTCCTATCATTCCAAGAATTTATAATTTAAATATTATTTAATACAAAATCCATTATTATTAATTAATAAATCAAATCAAAGGTTATAGAGTTGTGTCGGTCCAAAAATTAAAGTAGTCAAGTGTAGCGAATTTCCCTTTTTTTTTGGGGGGTGGTTTTAAAAGACTAGAGAAGTAGAAAATAAGCAAAACCGTAGACGAGACTTTGGAGAGGCTATGAGAGTAGTGAGGAGAACATGGGCAGAAATGCAGAATATGAAGGAATGTTGTAGAGATTGTTGGATAAGTATAAGATGGGAATTGACGAAATGTTTGTTATCCATCCAACATAAGGCTGCAGTTATGGGTTGGATACAGCATAGCTCCTCATTTGAATATCATCATCTAATCGATTACATTATATTAGGAATTGAAATATATCATGGAGATATAGAAGAAATATTTAAAATTTATAAGTTAATTTTTTAATATTAATATCTTTATCTACAATGAAATTTTAAGACAATTATTTATCAAAGTTTGTCCGTCTTAAAGGTGTTAGCCAGATTGGTTTTTTAATACGAGAGGGGATTCGAACTCCCAACATCTTTTAAGGGATGAGAATCCCAACATCTTTTAAGGGATGAGAATACACGATCACTCATGCCAACCAAATTAGTTTATAAGTGTATAAAATACGAATATCTTATTGCCTTGTCTTTCCTATTTGCACTCCTCTAGTGAATTCAATGCACATTCCTTCATCCACTTAACAAGTTCAAAGTTGATTCCAATCATAATTCATCAAAATCTTTTATCCTTCATGATTATGTAAAATGAAAATATTTATGTATTTTAAGAATTAATACAAATTATTTTTTTTTTTTGTTTAGGTTAGAGCATGGTTTCATTTTCGAATACAGTGACTAATTCATTTATTGAATTGTAAGTACCTCTAAAAGTAGGACAACTGAAAATGGACGAGTGCTCTTCCACTCAACCATACCCAGTTAAATTAATACAATTAATAGTAAAGATTAACACTGGTTAGTTCACATAATTGACATCATTATATTGCGTTAGCCACGATAACCACCGCAATCACCATTGCCGGTGGCCACGGGCGGGGAAAGATTGGTGACGCCATAAACCTCCACAACCACTCGTGGCAAGTAACTTTGATATTAGCCTTTTACCCACTACAAAGCTTTATCTTCACTGAAAGTGCTCTTTTTTTTTTTAATTTTTATTTTAGTGTATCTAAGTTTTCATCCTCAGACACAGTGACTAATTCACTCGTTGAATTGTACTGAAAGTACTCATACTCTTATGTTAATAAAATCAAGAAAAGTTTCCATTTTTAATTTATTTATTACAATAATATTCTCAAAACTATTTAATTATAACCTTCAAAAAAAATTGAATAACAATGGAAACCCGGCCACACCTACTATCTAAAGGTGTGCGCTAAATAAATCCAGTTCAAGTATAGTAGCCCACAAATTACACATTAAAAATTAAATTATACTAAAAAAATATTAATATGATGGACTCAATTAAGAGAGTGTTGACAAAAAGATCAAACTCTATAACATATCCGAATAGTTTATTTTTTTTTAATATTTAAGTCATTGCATTATTTTTGAAGTTTTTTTTTAATTAAATTTGTTATTGTACTTTATTTCTATTTAATCACATTTTTTTTGAATAAGAAAATTAAATCGCATATTGAGATTAATCTTATTTTTGATGAGAAGTACGTCAAAGGTGACCAAAATATTAAAATTATATAATTGTAATAAACTAGGATTCCATTCATGTACTTGTTATATTAGGATTCTAGTCCTATTATTATATATATATACCATGTATTATTCTATCTTATTAATCAATCCAATACTTCCCGTTCTCATCTGATATTAGTACCAAAATACTCTCTTATGGGTTTAAGGTAACGGGTATTTATTATTATTTTTTATTAAAAAGTTAATTTTTTTAATTTATAATTTTGTTTAATTAATTTATAAGTGGTCAAAGAGAATTTATGCAATCTTTTACTTTTTCAGTGATATTGTTTGGTGTTTGCTGCCATTTCTTGGGCTCAACGAGCTGTAGCAGTTATTTTATGGTCTCCAACGGAAGGAAAAGGAAAGTGGAACTGTGGAGGAATAATAGAAAAGAAAAGGGGGAGGAAAAAAAATAAAATTAACAGTTTCGAAAAAAAGAGAGATAAAGAGGAAAGGGAAAAACTTTCCCTTTTACCAAACAGAAGAAAGTGCGAGCTGGATTATATTCCGTTAGATTCCCCCTAACTGATACCACGCTCTCAGCTTTGATTTCCAATTGGAAGCAGACAAATTGGTGGGTTTGGTTTGGTATATCACCTGGGTTTGAGCCCTCCATTCACATCCCAGACAAGGTTAGTGGGCTGCCTGTTTGTTCTTTCAGTTTTCTGGCTTTTGTTCTCAGGAGATTTGGTTGGTGTTGAGGTGGTTTTGGCTGTGTTTCTGGTGGAGATCTTGGTGATCTTTGGTGGGTCTTCGTCCTTTCTGGGTTTTATTGCTAAAGCTTTGATCTTTGGCCACAATAGTAGCAATTCCAGGGCCTATTTGGTGTAGTTTGAATGTTTTCTGATAAACCCAGATTGCTGAAAATTGGATCTTGATCCTTTAGAAGCTTGGTGGGGGGTAGAACACTAGAACAGTGGTGAAATTAGGGTTGTGAGTGTGTAGAGAAGAGTTGCTATTTTGCCATTTTGGGGGTTTTTTCTTTCTTGTTCTTTCCAATTTCAGTAATTTATGGTTGGATAGACACCATCTGGTTGCTGTGGAGATCTGGGAATTGCTTCATCTGTTATGTCCCATGAGGACTTTTTTCCCTTCAGAGTCATGTAGGGAAAGTCAGGTGAAAGCCATAAATCCACAGTCATGGCTGCAAGTTGAGAGGGGCAAACTTGCCAAATTCGCCTCTCGGTCGCCTTCTTCCATGTAAGCTTTGAATTGAAGTTCTTTAATTTGTTTTCATGGTTGT